ACTAACGACAATGGATCAATTTTAAGCTTGAGAGTGGCCGCCTTCGCCTTCTAACGGTACAGCTGTTATAACAAATGATAACGTTACAGCTGTTTCTACTCCAATGTGAAGGGCACTCAAAACTTTAACAACAGCAGCAGCAATTAAGTTACACGAGTTACAAGATTATTTGAACTGAAAATACTGGTTAACAATTAGTAAACCATGATATTAATAAATTTTAATAAGTGATAGTGACTGAACCTGTTCTGTTGGACGTAACGCAAGATCATCAAAAACACACTTTGTCTTCAATTTTTTCGTACAGGTACAGGTGGTGCGAAAGAATCTGACGCTTCTCACAACCAATCGTCTGATTCTTGTGTCTAATTTTTGTCTTCGGCAGCTTGTACCCTATTACTGTCGCCAACACTCCTCTTTTCATAGTTCTTTGCTCAACAGTCAACAGTTCTTCATCTTCCTTCGACGAAGCCTAGGTTTCGCCCAAACGAATTGAATAATCGCTGGTGATGCTGTGCCATTATGCAGCGCAGTTTTATAGCAACTGAAAACGTACTGAAAAGCCCATAGCAACTGAAAATTTATATACGTATTTATATACATAAATATAAATGCTGTCGCATAAGCATGCTGTCGACCACACGATTGGTACGGGACGATTAGATGTCCCAATTATACATACTCAGTGGCTTCCTCTATTTGACAATCGCTGACAAAGATCGCAGCTGCCTTTTCTTCATCAACGTCATTGCTTTGCTTCTCCACAGTCCAAACTGATTCCCGTTTGAATTCGACATACTGAATATGGATTCAGCTTCATTAACTTGTCTCTGCAATATCAACATAATGTCGGCAAACTGAAGATGAGCTAACGGTTTGCCACTTACTGGAAAACTTTATTTCGTACTGTGGAATATAGATTCAAACGAAACACACCGTACACAGCCTGAATGATACACCGGTGTCCTGTTGACGAATACCTTGGCGAGTTTGGATTTCGACTGGATTCTGACTGCATCACGCTGTCGCAGCTTCATTATATCTCTTGTACAATTCGTATAATAATGT